GGGGGTGCGGAGCCTGGGGGTGCTGGGTCTGCTTCGTCGAGGCGGGAGCTACTCTCTCCGCAGGAGCTGCGCGAGTGGTTTGCCCGCCGCTGGAGCCGTGCTGCTGGAGCTGGAGGTACTACTGTTGTTGCTGGTCCTGGAGGTGCTCGTACTGGCGGTACTGGAGCTGCTGGGACTGGGGGTGCTGCTGGGGCTGCTGGAGTTAGTCCTGCTGGAGGTACTACTGGAGCTGCTGGCGGTGCTGGAGCTGACGGTCCTACTGGAGTTCGTGCTGCTGGAGCTGCTGGAGCTGCTGGAGCTGGAGCTGCTGGGGGTGTTGGCGCTGGTGGTTCTGCTGGCGCTGGTTCTTCTGAGGGTGCTGGAGTTGGCGCTGTTGGAGCTGGAGGTGCTGCTGGCGCTGGTGCTGCCGCTGGGGGTACTAGTGCTGTCCCTGCTGGTTCTGGAGGTGCTGCGCGGCCGAGGCCGTACTTCGTTCCGCTCCTTGAGCAGGTTCTTGGTCTCCCGCCCTCTACTGGTCCTGCTCCTCCCTTAGAGTGTCCACAGCCTGTCCAGTCGCGGTCACAGTTACAGCCCGCCTCCCCCCTACCTGCTCCTTCTCCCTACACTGGTCCTACTGGAGGTCTTGCTGAGCGTCGTGAGCCTGCGTCTCGTCCTGCGTCGCCTGTTCGTGCTGCTCGCACTAGTAGTCGTGCTCCGCGTCCGCGTCCTCCTGCGGTCCTCGGCACACACCAGATGGCACTGCGTCCTTCCACTGCTCCTCTGCGTGTCCCGTTGCCGTCTCCTCCAGAGTCCTCTCTTCCTACTCTTGCTGACCCGGAGTCTGACTCTCTTCGTGCTGCCAGTCCTACTGTCACGCGTCTCCTGGCTACTGTTGTCACTGACCCTTCTTTTGAGTCCACTGCTGCGTCTGCCTTAGTTGCTGAGCTTGTCGACTTTGCTGCTCGCGGTCGTCTAGACTACGCTGCTAGTCTTGTTGCTGAGTCTGAGTCTGTCTGTCCTCCGTCCGTCGGGGGTGAGTGTGCTCTTAGCACGGACGTCCTTGAGGACAGGCAGGAGGAGTTCCAGTGTTTTGCTGCTGCTTTGCCTCATCTCGTGTCCACGCTGATTGCCCCTGAGGGAGACCCGGATGCACCAGACATCCCGACTCCTCGATCGTACGCTGAGGCGATCGAGGGTCCCTACTCCTCACAGTGGCAGTCAGCCATGGACGCAGAGATGGCTTCCTGGAAGTCCACAGGCACCTACGTCGACGAGGTTCCCCCACCTGGGGCGAACATCGTCAGTGGCATGTGGATTTTCAGGGTGAAGCGGCCGCCGGGTTCTCCGCCTGTCTTCAAGGCGCGTTACGTGGCTCGAGGCTTCAGTCAGCGGCAGGGAGTTGACTACTTTCAGACCTTCTCTCCCACCCCGAAGATGACCACTCTTCGGGTGCTGCTGCACATAGCCGCTCAGCGCGACTACGAGCTTCACTCTCTTGACTTCAGCACAGCTTTCCTGCAGGGCAGCCTGCACGAGGAGATCTGGCTGCGCCGCCCACCTGGCTTCACTGGGTCGTTTCCTCCTGGTACCCAGTGGAGCCTCCGGCGGCCAGTCTACGGTCTCCGCCAGGCGCCCCGTGAGTGGCACGACACACTGAGGACTACACTTGCGGCTCTTGGGTTTGCTCCGTCTACTGCCGACCCGTCGCTGTTTCTGCGCACCGACACTTCTTTGCCGCCGTTCTACATCCTCGTGTACGTCGACGACTTGGTCTTTGCCACTGCTGATACTGCTGGACTCGCCCACGTGAAGTCCGAGCTGCAGAAGAGACACACGTGCACAGACCTGGGTGAACTGCGCAGCTACCTTGGCTTGCAGATCACCCGGGACAGAGCACAGCGCACCATTACCCTGACTCAGTCACACATGGTGCAGCAGGTCCTTCAGCGCTTCGACTTCACGTACTCCTCGCCTCAGGCCACTCCTCTGTCTACTCGCCACTCGCTCTCAGCTCTGCCTTCGGATGAGTCCGTAGAGCCGAGTGGCCCGTACCCAGAGCTTGTTGGCTGCCTCATGTACCTGATGACCTGCACACGACCTGACCTAGCATACCCTCTTAGCATCTTGGCACGCTATGTTGCTCCTGGGAGACACCGACCAGAGCACATGGCTGCAGCGAAGAGGGTGTTGCGCTACTTGTGCAGTACGTCGGGCATGGGGCTAGTGCTTGGAGGGCGACGTCCAGTGGTCCTCACAGGTCACGCAGACGCTTCTTGGGCTAACGACCAGGCTATGCAGCGGTCGTCACAGGGTTACACCTTCAGCCTTGGCTCCGGCTCTGTTTCGTGGCGGTCTACCCGCTCGTCTTCTGTTCTCGGCTCCAGCTGTGAGGCTGAGATCTACGCGGGGGCCATGGCTGCACAGGAGCTACGCTGGCTCACCTACCTGCTGACTGACCTAGGAGAGCCGCCTCGTTCTCCTCCAGCTCTGTACGTAGACAACAAGGCCATGCTGGCCTTGTGTCGGGAGCACAGACTGGAGCACAGAACGAAGCACATTGTTCTTCGCTACTTCCTTGCTCGTGAGTTGCAGCAGCGTGGTCAGCTGCGCCTTGCTTACGTGGCCTCTGAGGCCAACACTGCTGATATCTTTACCAAGGCACTTCCGCCTTGTGATCATCAGCGCTTCTGTACGATGCTAGGTCTTGTGCCTACTTGGCCTCACTTGCTCACTTCTTGACCTTGCTTGTACTGTGATCTTTCTATACCTGCACTTGCTTGTTTACCTTTATATATGATCTTGCATGTGAACTGGCCTTGTGGCCTTGCTCTTGTGCTCGGACTGTGTGGTGACGTTGTGATCCACCCTGAGCTTGCTTTGCTTTGCTTGACTGGTCTTGTGACCTCTTGTTCTCCCCCACTTTGCCTATGGGGGTGTGTCAAACTTATATGCTATAGTCTGTGTAGGCTGTAGTGGGGTAGACAATATGGGGTACAACACTTTTAGGTTTTCCTACTTGTACCCACCTGCTTGCTAGTTCATTCATTCCTTCCTCATTTCTTCACATGGACCTCTTTGCTCTGGGTTACGCTGCTTCTGACACCATCACGACGCTCTTCAGAATAGTCAAGAACTACGACATGCCAGAGTTTCTGAAGCTGGAGTTTATACGAGTGAGTCGCCTCTCTTTTGCCAGTGCAAGGTGGGTAGATGGGTGCACAGGGCGTCAGAGGGCTGGACCTCTTTGCTCTGGGTTACGCTGCTTCTGACACCATCATGACGCTCTTCAGAATAGTCAAGAACTACGACATGCCAGAGTTTCTGAAGCTGGAGTTTATACGAGTGAGTCGCCTCTCTTTTGTCAGTGCAAGGTGGGCAGATGGGTGCACAGGGCGTCAGAGGGCTGGACCTCTTTGCTCTGGGTTACGCTGCTTCTGACACAATCACGACGCTCTTCAGAATAGTCAAGAACTACGACATGCCAGAGTTTCTGAATCTGGAGTTTATACGAGTGAGTCGCCTCTCTTTTGCCAGTGCAAGGTGCGCAGATGGGTGCACAGGGGTTCAAAAGGGTGCACAGGGGATCAGGGAGGGCTGAAATCTCTTTGTTCTGGGCTACGCTGCGTCTGACATCATCACAACACTCTTCAGAATAGTCAAGAACTACGACATGCCCGAGTTTCTGAAGCTGGAGTTCATCAGGGTGAGTCGCCAATTGGGTGCAAAGGGGTGCAGATGGGTGCACAGAAGAGGGGATCGGGAGGGGGTGGATCTCTTTGCTCTGGGCTATGCTGCTTCTGACATCATCACGACACTCTTCAGAATAGTCAAGAACTATGACATGCCCGAAGTGTTCGCTTGAGACCCTGACATCTTATCTCCATGCCTACCCGTATATACCTGCCCTTTCCTTGTTGCAGGAGGTTGGGTTCTTTCACATGCGGATAGCAGACGGAGTGGGTTAAGTCAGGAGTTAATTTCCTTGTCTCTCCCTGTCCTCTCTCGTGTTGCAGGAGGTTGGGTTCTGTCACATGAGGATAGCAGACGGAGTGGGGTCGGTGCTACAACTATCGGGCTGAATGGCCAAGCTCTGCAAGATAGCCAGAAACGCAGCTCCTAAGTAGATGAATTGCCACTCACTGGTGTGCGTAGGCACAGCACCACAAGCTTGCTGCTGATCGGTGCTGCAACTATCAGGCTTGATAGCCGAGCTGGGCAAATTAACCAGAAACGTTGCTCCGAAGTAGGGCCATATTTGTTGATGAATTTGCATATAGAGTTGTAGATGACCGTAAGAGAACTTTCAATGCGATGCGACTAATCAAGCTCCACAGTGGTCTGAAGGCCTGATTTCCTTGACTCTCTCTCTGAGGCTAGCTCATCTCCCCATGAACGTTGTCCCCACAAACGCCCATCATACCGTTTTCTAGATATTGGTGGTACAGATAAGGTTGCGTTACACAGTCCGCTATAACAGATAAGGTGTACATAAACAATCACTTACTAAGAATTCTTCCAGCAAGTTCAGTCACAGCAATCGCACCATCACTCGGATTCGCGTCCATCGCGCCGTCGCATGCGTGAGATGCAAGGATCAGTGTCCCGCGGGATGGCGAAACCTGAATCGCGGAATTCTGGGTTCGCAAACCACTGAACCAGTCTTTCGTAATGTAATTTCGTCAGTTTGATAACCAGTCACGATTCGCGAAAGGCTCTCAATTCTCACCGCAATTATTCGCAGCAAATTTGATTGCGAGGTGAGCCCACAAAAAATCAACACAATCATCAGTTGGAAAACTCGTGCGATTCGGGCTGCAAAACTCCACACGCCAGTTTACAGCAAAACCAAACCCGCGACTCACGGCAGCTACCTCACGAAGCAAAAGTCCCGTAGAATAAGTAGAAGCTAGCCATGCCGTTTCAGTTCATCACAAGTTCCAATCATCTTCACCTTCTCATCTTAAAACTACATCGTACCAGCTAGAACGGTTCAGCGTTGCCCGCTACAAACAGAAGCGAAAATGACTCTGGCTAAGACCACTTTCCTTGTCGTCGTCATCGCGTCTGCGATGCTCCTCTCCGCCCCTGCGCGCGTCTCTGCCGCTGCGGCTCCAGCCAACGCGACTGCGCCTGCTACTTCTGCTAAAGCGACCGCTTCTGCTAAAGCGTCTGCCGCGCCTGCTAACAGGACTAAATCTGGAAATGCTACTAAAGTCGCTAACAGCGCGCACGGAGTGGCTACGGCGAGGCTGAGCAAGGGCGCGGGCGAAGGAAAGAACTCCACATGCGCCTACTACGGAAACTACAACGCCAACCCTTACTTCGGCAAGGGACTCACCGCGAAGATTCCTGACGCGCTCTTCAGCAAGCGATGCGGCGCGTGCTTCAAGGTGATCTGCAGCAACGACACGAAGCGCTGCCGCAGCGGCAAGGCCACCGTCACCGTCCGCGTCGTCGGCGCCACCAAGACGGAGGGGAAGCAGATTTCGCTCTCCGCCATCTCATGGGCGAAAATCGTGCAGGGTTCGGAAACTGCCCCTGTGAACATCACGTACAAGCGCACCAACTGCGTTTCCACCGCCGGATCGGCGGTGCGCGTGCGCAGCAACTCTACCGCGGAGCATTTTAACATTCAGATGGTCGGCCTTGCCGGCCCCGGCACGCTTACCGAGGTAGAGCTTAGCGCGGACGGCAAGAAGTGGGTGAAGCTGACCCGCGACGGAAACAAGGCGATCTGGGGAATCGCGGGCAAGGAGGCGAAGGATGTTGTGGGCGCGAAGAAAGCGATGAGCGTTCGCCTCACTGCGGGACACACCAAGGAGAAGATCACCCTCGCGAACGTCATTCCTGCAGCCTGGAAGCCTCAAACGCTCTACTCGTCCAAGACCAACTTCAAGAAGCTCATGGCTGAGGCCAAGTAGACGTTGTTGTGAAGAATATTCAAGGCGCCGCCTCGGAAGCATCTGTGCTCGTCGAATAAAAACCCATAAGAAGCGGATTCGGTGGCAGAGAGGCGCCGGCAGTTGGGAGACGAGGATGAAGGACGGAAGGTGGTCAAGTACAAGTTTAATGGCTGAATGCTAGTGGTGGGAGGGGAGTGGGTTAGTGGTAAGGGATTGCGTTAGCAGGGGAGTGGGTTGGGGGAGGGGTTTAATAATTGCTCTTACATGCTCTCCGTATCAGTAATATATCGTGCTTGCTTCTGGTAGATTGATCCCATAGTCATGGCCCAGTGAGAGTCTGCCGCCCAACTTTGAGATCACTCAGCCATGGGGGGTTTATGTAGTGTCAGGTGTGGCTGTTTTTGGAACGTGTTTCACACGCAGGACCAAATCATTAGTAGTCTGAGGGCATGTTACAGCACTACTGTACACCTAGTCGACGTTCTCAGTAGACCAGATAACCATAAACCTCCCTTATTCCCCAGGCTGCTGCTGAAATTCAAGAGCCCTGGCCCCTCCACCGTAGCAAAGACTTAACACACAACAGTGTGTGATTCGTAACAACTTTAAGCTGCTGCTAAGCTACACTAGAATACCGTACCATACACCCTGCTGCTCATAGACGTAGTTCCAAATCTAGCCCATGATCCCGAGTTTCGTAGGCCTCGGGATTGCCGCGAGTCTCACTCCTCGAGGAGGGGAAGACAGCTGAAGAGCTAGAGGCGGCTCGCACCCACTCCCTGCCATGATGCGCGTCGCTGTTTTCTGCAGAATTTTCAGCGCAATTCTCGGTGTAATTATCGGAAGAAGCACCAGCGAGGCCTGGAGGCTGGAGCTGCAATGTAGTTTCCGGCAGTCCCGGGAGCTCCGATAATGTTTCGTGGTGCCGTTGCTGCGTCTGTTCCGTCCGAATCTTAGAAGCAGGCGTGTGCGGTAACATCGTCGCGAGGTGACTAAGTCGGTCCAGTAAAGTCGCAATCAGAGAGCTTCGTAGCTCTGTCTCCCCCCCTCCCGCTGCTTCCGCGCACCCACTCGCCGAACCTACTCCGGCAGCAGCAGCTGTTGCCGAGCCTGCAGGCCTGGTCGCCGAAGCAGAGGCCCGAAGGGCATCCGCGGCGGCTGACAGCTGTAACGCGAGTGGCGAAGCGGCAGAATTCAAGGACTGCACGAGAGAAGACTCAACTCGCTCAGGCTGCGCAGAAGATGGAAACTTTCCAACATTGGATTGCGCGGGAGATCCGGCAGCAGCAGCACGACGGGTTCCTGTGACTGCTGACGTGGCGGGAGACGCTGCCTGTGACGACATCACACGTGGCAAAGGTGGCCTTTGGCCGGCAGGAGTGGTCCTGACGGCCGGCTTGACTGCGCGGGAAACGGTGGAGGCGAGAGAAACGGGGGAGGGAGGAGTTGTGGAGAAGGAGGGAGAGGGAGAGGAAGGATCATAAGGAGAGGAGGGAGAGGAGGGAGCTGATGCGTTGCTTGTGGTTTTAAGCTCCATCAGAGCTGCTGCTGCGTCGACGGCGATATCCGCGGCGCAATCCGCGGTGCTGGTGACACGTGACGATTCCAGTATGGGAGCTTCAGCGAAGTCGTCGGCGTCTGTTGTGGCGGCAGTTGCAGCGTCGATTAAGGCGTAGAACCGACGCGCAACTTTCTTAGCGGCGCGAGAAGGGTTGACGGCGTACGCGAAAGCTCCCAGAACCTTCACGTTGTGATTGTCGCGAGCTCGCTTTCCGCTTCGCGGAATCCCCGTCGTCAACGCTGGTGCTGCTTCCGTCGCAGCCGTTCCCCTCGCCGCAACCATTGTCGCCACAGCCGTCGCCGCAGCCGTCGTCGCTACCGTCGCCGCAACCGTCGCCGCAGCCGGCGGCGCAGCCTGCGCAGCCTGCGCAGCTGGTAGCCGGGACTTCGTGGCTGCTCGCTTACGTGCTCGGAGCGCGTCGACGATATTCGAGTGCCTCTCAGTGGAGCGGCTCGCAGCACCTCCATCTTCGCGCGTCACTAGTCGCATCGCGGTCGCCTTCAGTGCGCTGGCTTTCGCAGCCGTCGCCGTCGCCTCCGCGGTCGTCGCCGCCGATGTCGCCGTCGTCGCCTTCGCCTTCGCTGTCGTCGCAACCGAAGTCGCCGCCGTCGCTGCTGGGGTGAGGGTTTCATATCTGGCCTTGCGTTTATTTGCTGAACTGGCACCTTGGACGGCGCAATCAGCGGCGCCTTCAACTGCGATACCAACGGCGCCTTTGAAGCCTGGCGACGCATGGGCGTTCTTGCAATGAAGACTGAGCGCGTGTAGCGAGGGGTAGCGCTGCTCGCATTTGCGACATGTGTACGGCCCTCATAAAGCAGCGGGATTTGATCAAAGGGTCGAGATTGAGACGTTGGGACTCAGCAGATGGAGAAAATCGGCTGCAGACAGGTGATTTGTCGTTTTCGCCTTGAGAGGCGGGGAGTGGGGCCGCGCGGACGAACGTACAGTCGTCGCGAACGGTCGCGGAGCACCGCGTGCGACTGTTTTCATTGCCGTGCGATCCGTTTGCGACGAATGCGACGGCGGATGCGACGCTTGCGATGGCGGCTGCGGCTGTTGCTGCGTCCAGGCGTTCTCTTGCGAGTTGCGTCGGAGGCAGGAAGTCATCGTCGGAGTCACGTCGTTGGCGCCGGTTGTAATGGGTGCTGTGCGGTGGAAGGAAAAGGCGCTCGTGGGTGATGATTGTCTGTGAGAGGAAGAGGAACGATGCGAATCAACCATGGAGTCGATTTGACGGAGAATTTAAGTCGACTGGAAAGTCACCCTCGCCCTAAATCAGTGAGTCACGAAAGTCTTCTCTAATTTCTCTATTAGTCAATCGCCTCGCGAACGGAGCAGCTGCTTTAGCTGAAAGGACTGGAATAGTGTCTGCGTCACGTCGGTGAGGTGAAGTCCAATCAGAACAGCAGGCGCGTGTTCGATTGGCCGAGGGACGAAACGACGTGCTGAAGGACTTGCAACAGAAACAAATTATTGATGGCCAGGCGGACGTATTTCTGGCAAATTTATTGCCCAGTCAAGCGAAACAGCTGCTGCTGCAGCAGCAGCAGGGGCAAAAGCAGGAGCAGTCGTCAATCGGGCTTGGCTTGTTTCTTGCGTGCAGTTGACTGGAAGGTGGTCAGGGAGAGGTTGACCAAATGTCACGCGAACACGCGACGCGTTGCGGGAAGTGGAGATCGAAGAACGCGAAGCAGAGTGCTGCTGGGTGTGGGGAAGGGAGGGGAGGATGCGTGAGGTGGGTGGGTGGCGGGGAATTTCGGTGGCGAGCAGAAATTTGTGGGCGGGGAGGGAAAAATGGGGAGGGGAGAAAGAAACGTGAAACGCCAAGAGGATAACTGCGCAATGGTCGGCTGGCGGGACGAGGGGCAGGCTGGGGGCAGTGGGGCAGTGGGGCAGGCTGAGGACAGCGCAACGTAACGACTCTTGGGATGGGAAGCGGGGAGGGAGAGGGTGGCGGCGGATAACGGGAAATGAACATGCGCCGTCAAACAGATTTGACGGACTGGGAGGGGAAGGGTGTAGGAAAACAGGTTCGAAGGATGGGTGACGGACGGTCCGTCACTGACGGACTGACGTGACGTCATATCCGAAAAAGGTTGGACATTGTCCAGCATCCCCCAACCCAACCAGGCCTTCCAAGGGCACTTTTATGTGTGCTGCTGCGCCCACGTAATGCCGGTGCTCCATTGGCTAGTCGTTGTCGTCCGTCGTCTCGTTGTCCAATCGTGAATTGAGGCTGTTTCAAGCCGGTCCGCCGCTCGCGCTATCCCTTCTGCTCTCCCCATTTCCAAGGCTGACACAGCTCTGGTCTGGAATGCGCCCCAACCTCAACCTTTGCCAGCACACGTGCCAGTCAACGGCGTTGTCCTATCTTTTCCATTTGAAAAGTCGGGTCTGTCTATCTGAGCTGAACAGACCACGATCGCCGTTGTTCGCGAAGGAGTCTGCACCCAGTCGTTAGAACTGACCAATCCCCCTCAAGAAACCAGTCCATCATCACGGCACGGGACGCGAGTCTCGACGCTGTGACTGGACCGCCGCGTCGATTGGAAGGCCAGGGACGAAATCAGCTGACCTACCTTACGACGAGACTTCCTGCGACAGTGACTGATTGGACCATTCAACACAACTCACGTCGCTTATAACCAGGGTGCACATTCAACGCGGTTCGGCTTGAGATGTTGGGAAGGGGGTTTGGAGAAAAACAGTGATTGGCTCACGAGGGGCGACAAAAAAATGATTCCGCTAGAGCTTCGGGCATTTCGTAGGTGGCGGGAGGGGGTGAAATGGCGGGAGTGGGTGAAACCGAATGGCGGGAGGGATGAAACAGATTGGCGGGAGGGGGGGGAAACGAAATTGCGGGGGAGGGGGGAAACAAAATTGCGGGGGAGGGGGGAAACGAATTTCGACGGGGAGGGGGAAATGAAATTGCGGGGGCGTGGGGAAACGAAATTGCGGGGGAGGGGGGAAACGAATTTCGACTTGAAGGGGTTGAAAGCACACCTCGTAACCCACTCAGTCAAGGGATAACCTTTGATGCACATTCAGCTGAATGTGCACCCCGGTTTTATAAAAAGAACTTCTTTTCTCGTCCCAAATTGCGGACCGCGAGGGTCAAGTTTTTAAAACTTGACGAAGTTGAGTGTCCAAGCTTTTGAAAGTCACGCACCTGCAATTTGGGACTTACGAAGACAGATTCACTCACCAGGGGGAAAACCGAGGGTTGGCTGGGTCTCGCGAAAAAAACGAACCTAGACGAAATTGCGAACTCTCGCCAAAGCCTACACCAGAAAAACTCCCTCTGGTCAACTTTTAAAAGCATGAACAATTTGGGCCGCCGGCTTTAAAGTGGGATTTGTGAGTAACATCCCTAAAAAACAAATTAAGCTACATTATTTTCTGACCAACCAGTGCGCATGATAGCTTCCATACAGGCCCTCAGATTGGTTTCAGGGCATGCTGATCGATCAGTGTGCAGTGTCCAAAGTGGTGTCCAAATCAGCCTTGGGGGTTAAATTTATGCTGATTTTCTCAGTGTAAATTTTCAAGGCAAGCTGAAAAATCAGTCTTAAAATAATAACTGCGCGGTCAGAACGGTGTTGGTGGCGTAGTTGTTTGTGTATGTCTTGCGATCGCCAAGGTATCGGGGTCGATTCCCGTAGACGAGAACTGCTTGAGTGGGCCGCGAGTTTTTTTTGCGGGTATTCTGGTTTGAACGCCCCCTGTACACCCATACCCTATCATGTCCGAATCAGTGTGACTCAGTACACTATACTGATTCGTCAGTGCTACTTGTACAGCAACACGCAAAATGGTCAGTGTGAGAAAATAGGTTATACTGAAATTTCAGTGCAAGATTGAAGCATATGCTGAATTTTCAGGGAAAACGAAAATCTGAGCTACAAAATCAGCGTAATCAGCGTGTTTTACGCTGATATCTGAGGGCCTGCTTCCATACGTTGCTTCAGCAGTTTTTACCGGCTGATTGGAGCACACAAGGATTCCCAGGATTGTATATCGTGCTCAACGCATAACAAATAACACAAATATTCATGTAGTTTTAAACAAATTCAGAAGTCAACCATCATACTTCCGGCTCCACCTGCCTGAAACCTGCAATGCGTAAAAGTGCAACACAGCAGGGTGCGGATTGGAACACCAGAATAAAGGAGAAAACATAACAGAGCAGGAAAGGAACAAATGGGAGAGAACAGAACAGCACATGAGATAGTACACTGAGATGAATTTGTTGGAACCACTGTCCCACCCATCCCTTAAAACCCACCTGCCTGCCTCCCAGGCGTTGGCTGTGCCGGGTGCCTATCCCTGCCTCCTGCCCAGCTCCTCCCATAGCACCACCACTCTCACCAGCTGCCTTCTCCCCTCCTCCTGCATGCCCTCCTTCCTTGCTCCCTACCCCATCCGCTGCCCTTGCTCCTCCTGACACTCCCACCCCAGCCCCTCCTTCAGTTGCTGCCATATTTCCCACTCCGTCCCCCGCTTCCCCACCGTTTCCCAACCCACCCAAGTCTCCCACAGCCTCCATCCCTGCACCAGTAACCACTCCCTTGCCTCTTCTGCCGCCTCCCCTTCCAACACGCCCCTCTCTCTCCCCTTTCCCTCTTCTCCCCATCCGTCCGCCTCCTCCCCTGGCCCCGCGGTCAGTCCCACCAGCCCCCCGCCCTCGTCCCCTACTTAACCCCCTCCCCCTGCTTCCTCCCCTGCCTCCCCTCTGGTTCTCTCCACTGGTACTCTTCCTAGCAGCAATTCTGATCAGCAGCGCACCATCACTGGCAGCAGCACTAACAGTACCCATAGATTCCATCCCAACTGCGGCAGCAGAACCACCATTAGCAACACTACCACCAGCAACAGCAGCAGCAGCAACACCAGCAGCAGCAGCAGCAGCATCTGCAACCGAACTCGTGCGAAATTTTCCTATCTGCCCGAGTGCCATAAGCCCAGTCTCGGCTTCTTCTGTTACCGCCCCCTTCCCTGCTTCCTGCCCCACCTTCCTTGCTGCTTCCTGCCCCAACGTCCTATCTCCATCTCCCACTACCATCACCTCATCACGATCATCCTCATTTTCTTCGTCCGCTTCCTCCTCCTCTTCCTCCTCCTCATACCCCCAGCCATGCTCCTCATCCTCCCCCTCCTCCTCCTCCTCCCAATAATGCTCTTCCTCTAGTTTTCGCCCATCCTGATGCCCATCCACATGCTTATCTATCTTCCCATCCCCATGCCCATCCACATGCCTATTTCTCTTCCCATCCCCATGCCCATCCACATGCCCATCTGCCTGCCCCTCTGCACCCCCCACCTCACCTGGAACCGAATGTTTTCCTCCTGCCACTCCCTTCAACTCCTTGCAGTCAACTCGCTTCTCTGCACGGCCCTCACCTCTCGGATGCTCCCTCTCCTCCTCCTCCTCCTCCTCCCGCGTTTTCCGAGCCACCTCAGAAGCTTGCACTCCCTCTCCCTTCAACTCCTTGCACTCATCACCCTTCTCTGCACGTCCCTCACCTCTAGCATGCTCCTTTTCTCCTCCCTTTCCCCCTCCTTCCTTTACCACCTCCCTTGTATCTGCTCCTGCCCCTCCTCCTTCTCCTCGTGCTCCTGCTCCTGCCCCTGCCCCTGCTCCTGCCCCTGCCCCTGCCCCTGCCCCTGCCCCTGCCCCTGCCCCTGCCCCTGCCCCTGCCCCTGCCCCTGCCCCTGCCCCTGCCCCTGCCCCTGCCCCTGCCCCTGCCCCTGCCCCTGCCCCTGCCCCTTCCCCTGCCCCTGCCCATTCCCCTGCCCCTGCCCCTACCCCTGCCCCTGCCCCTGCCCATGCCCCTTCCCCTGCCCCTGCCCCTGCCCCTGCCCCTGCCCCTGCCCCTGCCCCTGCCCCTGCCCCTGCCCCTGCCCCTGCCCCTGCCCCTATTCCCGTCCCTGTTCCTTCTGCTCTGCCAGTATTCGCCTTGATAACAGCAGGAAGACCAATCACACTCACTGTGTTCTCTCCACTCTCTGCATCTCGTTCTCTCGCTACTGCACTTGCCTTCTCCTCGTCTTCTCCCTCCATTCTTCCCTGCTCTTTCTCCTTGACCCCCCGCTTCCCAACTCGATCAATTACTTCTCCAGTTGTAATTTTTCTCGCCGCCTCCCCTCCCCCTCTCACTGCTTTCTGCCTCTTTGCTGCAGGAGTATCCCCGTCCCATTGCCTCTCCCCATGCCCTGACCCTTGCCTCAGCTTCTGTGACCCCCTTTCTCTGACCTCCTTCTGCCCTTCCTTCTTGGCAAACCCTTCAGGCTCCACTTCCTCCCTCTCATCCCCTTCCTCCTTTTCCTCCCCTTCCTCCATTTCCTCCATTTCCTCCCCTGGAAACTCCGCACCTGTTTCCTTCTCCTTCCCACCTGGGCTCCCCTTTACCTCCTCTTCTCCATCCCCATCACTGCCTGTGCCTCGTTTCTTCCCAATCGCACCCTTTTCCCCTTTCACCACACTCACTTGCCGCGTCGCCAAACTCCCTCCCTTTCTTATGCTTCCCTGACCACGCAATATCCTCAAAACCAACGCCTCCCTTTCCTCCTCCTCCTGCGTTTTCCGAGGCGCCTCAGAAGCGCGCACCACCGCCGTCGCATCTCCCTCCTTGTCCTCCTGCATTCCAGTCTCCTTTGAACCCATTCCACCCCTCTTCCTTTTGAAACCGGCAGTCACTCCCTTCCCTCTCGAGCTTCCTCTTGGGTTATCCGCAGCTGCCAGTTCCTTACCTTTTGACTCAGTCAAAGAACTATCCTTCCCCTTTTGTTTTGGACTCACCACCTCGGCAACACCAGCCACAACAGCCGCAGCAGCACCACCACCAACACCACCCTCACCACCCCTCCCTTTCCCCCTTCCCCTCCTCCTTCCAGCCTTAACCCACTCAACTCCTGCCCCTGCCCTCCCTCCTCGTGTTCCCCTCCCCCCCCCATCTCCCCCCTGTCCAGCCCTATTCAAACCCCCCTTGATTAAACCCCCTCTTTGGTTGACCGAGTTGGCTTTGCCTCCCAGCCCACGCACTGCAGGCACTGCTGCAGCAGCTTCACCTGCCGCTCTTGCTGCTGTATTGTCCATAGTCTCTGCTTCTGCTGCTCCTTCCGCTGGCTTTTGAAATGACAGCTTAACAGAAACCCCCCCCTCCGATCCCTTCCCTTTCCCTTTCACCTCACTTGCTCCTTCCCGTCCCTTAAGCTTTTCCCTGCCCTGGCCCAGGCTTTTAATCTTCGGGTTAGGGTTACCACCACTGGTAACACCAGTGTGGTAACCAGCATCACCGTCACCCTGGCCCTCTGAGGGGCTCGAAACTCGTTTTGCTGAAAAGCGTCCCACCTTGTTCTCCCGAGAAACCCCTAACTTACCATCTCCGATACCCCCAACCTGTTGCGTCTGTTCCGACCCCACCTTCTTCCGAGGTGCCTTTGAATCGCTGTCACCAACCCCCCCCACCGAGTCTGTGCGTTTCCGCTTCACAGGCTGTCGCCTGGCTGCCCTGTGTCCCGAGGCCTCTACCTCAATTCCTCTCTCCTCACTTCCTTTGTGGGCTTCAGCAGCTGATGCTCCCACTGCTGCTCCAGCTTCTACTGTTCGCCCTTTTGAGCCTCTCCCTTCTACTTCTCTCGCGTCTGCTGCACTGGCTTCTACTGCTGCGGCTGTCGTTTCGGCTTCCGGTCTCACTACTGCTGAGCTTCTCTGCTTCCTTCTCTGGTGTCGCCACTTAGCTTGCTTCTCCTCCTTTTCCTCCTCCTCCTCCTTCCCTGCCTCCTTGTCCTGCTTTTCCTCCTTTCCCCCCCTCTTCTTCTCCTTCTCCTGTTTGCTTATCTCAGCAACACCCTTCAGCAGAAGTTCCAGCAGCTCACCACCTTGCTTCTCCTCCTCTGCCGAGGAATCTGGTTCCTCTCCCTCCTTTCTCTCCTCCTCTACCTCCTCTCGTTCCTCCTCTCCCTCCTCGATTTCCTCCTCTCCCTCCAAACCCTCCACTGCTCCTCCCTCCTCCTCACTCTCCCCATAACCCACATGTCCATCCTCCTCCTCTCCCTCCTCGTCCCCCACTTCTCTCTCCTCCTCTTCCTCCTGTTCATCCTCCTCGCCCTCCTCCTCCTCATACTTTTCCTCCTCCCCCTCCTCCCCCCCCTCCTCTTCCTCATCCTCCTCACTCTCCCCTTGGCTCGCCTCCCCATGCTCACCCTCTCCTTCCTCCTCCCTCCCACACTCTCCCTCCTCCCCCCCCCCTCCCTTCTCCGCCCCACCAGCCAAACCTTGCACTGCAGCTGCAACAAGCAGCAGCTCTGTAGGATCTATCTCGTTCCCCTCCACACCCCCCCCTTCACTCTCATCCTCACTCTCCTTCCTATGCTCCTCTCCGCTCTCCTCCTTATTCTGAATCACATCCTTGGCCCTTTTCGACCCTTTTCCTTGTCTCTTAGCCCGCCCTGCCTCACCTGGGCCTCCCTTCTTCCCCTCTTTCACGCCCTTGACTTCACCAGAAGCTTCGGCTATCAATTTGTTTGATTCGTCTCCTTGCCTTGCTGCTGGGGTTTTCCTTGACGCGTTAACAGCAATCCCAGCAGCAGCACCAGCAGCATCTGTGTTACCATTCACAAAAGCACCAGCTGCACCAGCAGCAGCAGGAGCCGCACCAGTGCAATTATCAGCAACAGCAGTACTCGCAGTAACAGGAGTAGTATCCAAAGTGGTTTCTGGTCCTGCTGCTGTTTCTGCTGCTGCTGCTGCTGCTGCTGCTGCTGCTGCTGCTGCTGCTGCTGCTGCTGCTGCTGCTGCTGCCAATACCACTCCTGCTGCTTCTGCTGCTCCTGCTGCTGGTGCCGCTGCCACTCCTGCTGCTACAGGCGCCGCTGCCACTCCTGCTGCTACACGCGCTGCTGGTGCAGGAGCTGCTGTTGCCGAACTGACTGCACTAGCTTCTGCTGCCTCTGCAGCAGCAGCCGCGTCTTGGGGCCCTACTGAACGACTGCCACTGCTGTGCCACACTGCTAAGCGAGTGCTGCCAACTGGCACTTCTGACGCTGTTGCTGATGCCAATTTTGATACCGAAGCTGACGCCGAAGCTGATGCCGACACTGCTGCCGCCCCATACCAGCCAGCATCCGCCTCTCCACTTCTTATTGCCCCCAGAGAAGCATCAGCTACAAGCACAGAGCCAAGCAAGCGAGGGAGAGGAGCCTCCCTTTGAAAACCACCCAACTGAGACGCTGTTTGCCCATCAAAAACCACTTCGGATCCAAACGCCGTTTCCCTCGCAGAACCCTCCCTCTCTCCTTGAAGCGCCTCTCTTTGAAAGGCGTCACTTTGAGTCATTGCTTCCCTCTGAAACGACTGTTCCAGTGCTTTCTGAGTGGCGTCTACAGCAGCTTCAAAGCCAAGCGCGCGAGGGTGAGGAGGAACCGGAGTTTGAACTGGTGTTTGCTGCTCGGGAGCAGCATCAAAGGCCTCTAGAGGGGCGTCGTCAACAGTCACGAAGCCAAGCGCGCGGGGGTGGGGAATCACAGCAGGGGATGAGGGGCCGGATCTACCCCCGGGAAGAAGGGTTCCGAAGGAGCCTAGAACCCTCGCGCCTGCAGCCACTGCTGCTGCCCGAACGCCAGAAACGGCAGCAGCACCAGAAGCAGCAGCAGCAGCAGCAGAAGGAAAAGCTCCAGCAAGTGTGGGTTGAAATTGCAGAGGCGGCGGAGAAGGAAGAGGAGGAGAGGGAAGAGGGGGTGGAAGAAGAGGAGGAGGAAGGGGAGAGGGAGGAGGTGGAGGCACGCCGCTGCCTACGAGATGAAGGCTGTAGCTGCGAGTGTGCTGGCGTTGAGCAGCCCAGGTGAGGTACGTGGTGTTGTCTATGGCTTCCACAGGCACTGTCACTGCTCCTTCTCCCAACCAAGCCTCATTACCACCAGCACCGGCAGCACCAGCACCAGCACCGTATGGCACAGATCCGTCCCTGCCTGCCCACCCGTCGTCCTGAGACGTGAACAGAGCAACCCGCGTCGAAGCATCTCCACCAAACCCACCGCCGCCGCCGCCCGCACTGCCATCACTGCGACTGCCCGGAAAGCTCTCACGCGGATCAGGAGGAGGAGCGCCGTTTTGCGCCACAGCAGCAGTCGTAGAGGCCATTCCGGAGAGAGCAGCCACAGCAGGAGTAATTCCCCCCCGACCAAACCCTAACGCCAACGCCCCTCCAGAACCCAACCCAGGAGGGCCCATAGATCCCACCCCAGGCCCCATCCCAGACCCCATCCCATGACCCATCCCAGAACCCGCCCCTCTTCCTGTCCCATGTCCGTCTCTTATGCCCTGACCCAGCATGGGAGACGAGACGTTGGAAGTTGCCATGTCAGTTGCCACTTTCAGGCTGTTATTATGGATTACCATTTTGTGCCCTCTGCCCATGCCTCCTCCCACACCCATGCCTCCTCCTCCCCCTCCCAAACCAGGAACCCCCGCCCCGAGCCTGCCGGCCCCCGAACCAAGCGCCGAGCCTCCCCGTCCGGTTGGGGAGAGAGGGGCTCCGAGGGAGTAGAAGGAAGGGAGGCGCAGGGCCAAGCCAGACGTGCCTGAGGCTCCAAAGCTTGTGGAGTGAAGCAGCTTGATAGGGGACGGTGCAGGCCGGGTGGATAGTGAGGCGATCGGGATGGCAGAAGCAACAGTGGCAGCCGCGACAGTGGTGGCGGTGGTACTAGTAGCGCCTCCGGCTGCTGCTGCTGCGGACTGTGCTTCCAGTGTCTTCAGTCTGGCCTCCAGCTCCTCTGCCTGCCTTCTCTTCTCCACCAACTCCTGCTGCAGCTGCTTGGTCTGTCGTCAGGGAAATGTTGGAGAGGAAGAAGGGAGCAAAGGAAGATCCAGTTTGGAATCTATTTCTGAGAGACTTTAGCTCCTCTGCCTGCTTCTTCTTCTCCACCAGCTTCTGCTGAAGCTGCTTGGTCTGGTGTCAGGAAAAAGTTGGGAAGCAAAGCGAGATTCAGAGAGGGAGGAGGGGAGGGGGGAGGGGGGGGGGGATTGGGCAAAGTGAGGCGGGTGCTCTTATGTCAAACGTTTATTTCGACAGCACTTTAAACAGCTTCTTCTCCTGCTGTTTCTTGCATCAGTTTTGTCGCAGACAGATGAAAAACAGGAGGACCCAAAAAAAAAAACAACAACAACATTTTTCATCACATGCATACACTTGCTGCAAGATGGCTGGATACTCATGCTTCACTTCACTGCTTACGGCCAAGAGCATTTTTTGGAATTGTAGAACACGAGACCAAGTTAGCTGGTCATGCTTCGTCGCACTTCCAGCCAGTACCTGAACCGAATGCTGTATGCTCATGCCACTTTTGAGGATTCTCAAGATGAACCCTGCACGCTCATGTCACATTGACAGACTGCTGTATGCTCATTTCACATTGACAGACTGTGTTTCAAGATCACACTGCGTTGCAAAGTAATGTTTCGCAATAAGGATGGTCTGGGATAAGCGGTGTTAACTCGCAATACGATCCTTAAGCAACAATCCTAATTCCATTCTGACAATAGTGAACCAAAATAAATCAATCACACTTCTGAAGGTAAAAAATAAACGAACCAAAAAAAATGAACAACAAGAAAGAAGGTACCTAACTGAAGACTTTTGTTGCACCATCAAACTAACATCGATGGGTAGTACCATTGAAATCGCTCACCTTAGCGTCTGCGTTAAGCTGCATTCTTTCCAGCATCGAAGCTGCTTGGTCCTTCACGGATCCCAACGTTTTCTCCAGAACAACCAATTGCATTTCCGCGTAGCTCGCGCGAATCGCGGAGTCCTTAACTATCTGTTCCGCCACGCCGGCCGTCATTTGCTGGACTCTTCCCGCGAGTTCCGGGTCTGCTACTACCGACGACGCGAGTTGGTGGCTTGGGGTTGACGGAGGAGCTTCTGCCGCTGCGGACGCGGCTGCAGCCGTCGCGGAAGCTTCGATTTCTGGTGATTGCGTTGGTGGAAATGTAGATGTTTGAGTTGGTCGAAGCGTAGCTGGGAGCGTTGGCGGCTGCGTTGGTAAATGGAACCCGCCATGGCTAGGAGCCATTGTCGCAAGGTTGAACGCTGTAGCAGGACCAGACATCAAATTGCTAAAAATAACTCTATGTTAATAAATAGGCAAATGACATCATTTGAGCGACCTCTATCCGTACACAACTGTTCGAGCCCTAAAAAGCAGCAGCGAGCCGCGAGCGTTGAGCGCGATATTTTAGGACAGCAATGGATGAAAGTCAACCACGAAATGGAAACAGCAATTTCGTTGTTCAAAAACGTGATATAACAGTAACTTCAACCGCATATCGTCCAGAATCAGGGACCATAAAAAAACGCTATGCTAAATAGTAGCCATTGAGCTAAATCGTTAGACACTGAAAGGTCTCACAGGAGCCAGTCTGAGAAAAGGTCAAGCCTTGGGATTTGCGGGTCGGAAAGAGAGGGTGGAGAAATCAAGGGTAGTGAAGAAAGGGAGGGAAGCAATCTGGCGGCTCGTGGTGTAGATCAAACCCGCAATGTCGCGAAGGAAATCGGCAGCAGCGAACTCAAGAAACGAATGGTCAGGCTCTCGCCTCGACCGATTTGTGTTACAAATCATCGAAACTCGTCTATATTTCATATTGTCATTCACAGACCTCAACTGGTAAGCTGAAGTTTGAGGCTCTTTTGGGCTTGAGTTTACAGCCACCACCTAACATTTGTTGGAAACAATCGGTCCTAAGCGCCTCTGTCGTGTCGAAACACTAAGACACAAAAGAAACGAAGTATAACGAATCACCGGCAAGTCAACCCTCGGAGGTTGAAAGTAACAGTTGGAGGTTACGCGAAAGTCAAAGGTCAGCGACCTTTGACCTGACAAAGTACAGCGCGACAGCAAGGACAAACAACTGACTCGGTATTGAGCAGTTGCCCGAGTCGTCACTGTATCGAACCGCAACAGCAATAGTAAAACGGTTATTAACTGTATCTCTTCGTATTCCTTGTACTCTTATAAAAGCTTGTATCTCTTTGTTTTAATTAACTTACTTTGCCCTCACATACTAGCGCAAGGTGGTTCACAACTCTTTAATTAACGCTTCCGCTACTACACCAACTCTACCCAGAGTTCACCCCTGCAAAGATCCTAAGGGTTTTTCAGCCCAACATGGTATGAGAGCTATCAGGGGGAATTCAACTTCTATACCGACAACATCAACAAGCATGGCTACACAAAAGGAAAGGAGCAACTCCAACGGCTCCCAGGGCACTACTCCTACTCCACCTCCTGCCTCTGGCCTACAGACAGAGGAGGGCACAGCAACAAGACCCAGAGCAACATCTACCGAGACTCCAGCGAATCAACCTGCAGACTTCGACCAGAGCATGATGGAGAAGTTTTTCTCCTTCATGTCCTTCTACGAGCAACACCAGAAATCGGCACCTGCGCAGTCACACAACAGCAACAACAACGGAGCAATGCACGAGGAAATCAACAACAGCAGCCTACCTTTGCTCCGTACGAGCGCGGGTCCATCAGCTTTATGCCACACCCACAGCCTTCACCTGGACAAGAAAAATCACTGGACGCATTACAAATTCAGTCGCAGTTCGCACACGTTCTGAAGATGCAGACGTCAAGACCCTTCGATGGAAAGGACTTCTTCACCTGGTCGTTCGAGTTCGAGCTGATGATGGAAGGCGCGCAGATACTCGGGTTCTTCGACGGGTCTCTGCCATACCCAACAAACGGCACACAGTACGAGAAGCAGCAGTACACATATCAGTCAATGATGGCGTACACGATCCTACTGAGGAATATCACCCCGAATCAACAGCAGAACATAAGGTCTTACCGAGGTTACGGCAACTCCGCGGAGCTCGCGTACAACCACCTGAAGAGCCTGTATCAAGCAACAGACAGCGTAAGCCAAAGTCGGTTAATGGCGCAACTGACAACGGTTGAAATGAAACCAGGGGAGAAAGGAATGGCGTATATCAGTCGATGTCGCGAGTTGCGCGACAAGCTTCTTCGATGCGGAGGGTCGATCTCTGAAGACGCCTTCGTGACAGTCATCATCGGCGGCCTCGGTCCTCAATGGCGCGCCACAAAGGCCATTCTCCGAACTCACGGAAGAATCTCCGAAGCAGCGCTCTGCGCCGAAATCCACGCCGAGCAGCAAGACATGGACCTGCAAGAAGAACGACACAAAAAGAAGACATCAGCACCGGAATTCGCGTTCCATACTCAGCGACGCTACAACAACAACAACAACCGGCAGCAACAACCGAAGCCAGTACCTCCGTTCTGCCACATCTGCAAAACTTCAGGACACCCGCGTACGCACTGCCCGAATTGTCAACAGTCAACAACTCCACAGCGGCAACTTCGACCTTCAAGCAGCAAAATCGCCTCAACGCAAGCAAATCCTACGACCCAGATTCAAGCCTCAACGACTTCAACGGGACAACCTGCACAAGGAGCAAGAAACATCGTCAGCTGCATGGCAAATCTGAGTGACTCCTGCATCACCGAGTCACCACCACACTACTCACCGGAAGAACAACTCGACGAAACCACACCCCGCCGCGAGTCACTTCAGCCGAACCCGACATACGCCGCCATCGCCCAAAGCGAACCATCCGGAAAGGACACATGGTTCTTGGACAGTTGCTGCGGACAGCACATGTGCTCCTCGGGACGCTTCGTTCAACGAGAACACCAACTTCAACGCGAAGTTGTCATTACAGTCGCCAACAATCAGAACCTGCGAACACGACGACAAGGCGTAATTCAACTTCAGTCAAGGGAAACAAACGTTATACTGCAGATGTCAAAAGTACTAATCGCGGAGGGACTCGGCTACAACTTACTGAGCGTCAGTCAGCTAATGGCGAAAGGGATTCACCTCGAAGCAGACAGCACCACCCAAGAATTCAAGCTGTATCACGGGAGAGGAGGACTTTACATCGGCAAGGCGGTCCTCAAGAACAACGTCTTCGTTCTTGATTTCGTTCCTGATCTTGGCACCGCCGACAGCGACGCCATCATTAACTTCACCAACTGGACACACCCTCCAGACCTTGATCCAGACTTCAGTCCAGAAGGCTTCTGGTATTCACACACCATCCCTGAAGCAGAAAGAACAAGGGCGTTAGCAACAATTCAGACAACATCAGCAGCAGCAGAGACAACATCGGCAGCAGCAGAGACAACATCGGCAGCAGCAGAGACAACATCGGCAGCAGCAGAGACAACATCGGCAGCAGCAGAGACAACATCGGCAGCAGCAGAGACAACATCGGCAGCAGCAGAGACAACATCGGCAGTAGCAGAACCATCAACGGCAGCAGCAGGAACGTCAACACCAATTGCTGGTCCTTCAACAACACCGCTCCTCATCGACGACACACCACCGACACCCGCGCAACAACTACACCCAGCACCACAAGAAGTTCATCGTAGCGCCAACTTCACCGCCAACTTCTACTCCAACTCCGATATGTACCGACGATCACCCGGACATCGCGCCGACGAAAGCACCTGGCACGCAAGGATGGGACACCCAAGCAAAGCAGAGGTTTAAACAATACGATAAGAGCAGGAGTACTCGACAAGGACTCACTCCTACTGACCGACGGACGAGAACTTCAACGAGTACGCGGAACGTGCTTCATCTGCCCTGAAAGTGACTTACCACATCGACCGTTTGCGTCTCATCACAACCCGAGCGCACCCGCGTACGCACCACTCGAGAAGGTGTATAGCGACATCCTGTACAATCGGGAACCAGGACAAGTAATATACAACTATACAATCACCTTCATCGACGCCGCCACCCGTTACGTCTGGCACCTAAACCTCCCTAGCCGCGACATGGCATTCGCAGCCTTCGTTGCCTGGCTACCAGTAGCAGAGAGAGAATCGGGCGTGAAACTGAAAAGCTTCCAGTCAGACGGAGGAGGAGAATACACCTCTCAGCGATTCAAGCAGTACCTGGCGGAAAGGGGAATCAAGCGGCTCATCTCCCTTCCCTACGCCCATCAGCAGCAAGGTGTAGCAGAAAGAATGAACAGGACCTTGCAGAACAGCATGCGCAAACTGTTACGTGGCATGCGGCTACCCAACCACCAGTGGCCTGCGGCAATGGACCACGCCGTCATGCTGCACAACTTGCTCTCGTCATCATCGCTTCCAAACAACGCATCACCGCATCTGCTATGGACAGGGAAACAGGGCAGCACAA